AGAGACACAGGATAAACCTTAATAATGGTTGGAACTTTTAAGCCATATGACTGTGTACACTATTTCTCGTTGTTCTGGTCTTGTAGTTACATGATAAACCATTAATGAAATTATTTATAACTTTAAAAATTATATTATCTTTACATGTATTTAAAGGGCTCAAAATATGTATGTAAATTTTGTGCAAAAAGAATATGATTGCCTATTGAGAAAAGAGAGAAGCTAAGCTAGCGGTAGACAGAATTTGAACGACTGCATTTTTTTCACATATCACAAAGTACTGACGTTTGATAACTAAAATTATTTTGCAGGTACTTTATCTCATACACGGGATTATTCTTTTTGTAAGCTATAACACTCTAATGATCAATATCTCACGGAGGGTTCTACACATATCAATAGTTGTCCTCATCTTTCTATTTTGTTGTTTTTTCACATAGGCACAACATATTTCATACTTTTTTGTCAGGCATATTGTACTATAAAACAAGGGAAGTCGTGATGCACGACACTATCTCTCTTGAACTTGTAGTAACTATCTCCGGCCCGTCATTTCATGGTCAACCCTAATTATTCCACAATATTCATATGGGTTGTCCTCTTGTATACTACCAATCCAGACTACACAACAAGGGATAGCGTGATACACGCCAGCCCATCATGTGATGGTACTTGTCTCATGCATGCAGCCCTACATGCATTCATTGTAATGGTATTGATATATCTGCGAATTAACTCCCTTTTCGTTTCTTTGAATGAAAAAATTACAGAAGTACCACCCCAAACCATGAAACATATCCATCATCAGCAGATGAGGCTGCTGTGTGTTCCTCCAATGCCCCATCAGTGAAGAAGACATGAATGGTAGCAGGCCTGCCAGAGTGTTAGGATGGCCACTAGAGGATGGGGACGCCATCATGGTAGGATGGAAGAGCTTCTGCTGTTTGCTGGAGATGTGCAACATGCATGCGCGTGCGGTGGTCATGTATCTCGCTCTGTATCTAGAATATTGCTTGGTGGTCTAGTCGTCAGGAATAACGCTTCTTGAATCCGAAGAAGGTGGTGAGTATGCATGGATGTGGTGTGACAACAATGTGTGTAATGAATGTTTGAGAAGTAATTAAAATGGGGCCTTGAAAACTCCATAATAATAGAGTTTTCGTGGTAATGGTGCTTGTACTTCTTTACAATATGGCCCCTTGGTAGATGAAACATTGGCATTTCTTATCATGCTCCTGTTAAGCATATCCTTTATGCAGCACGTAAACAAAAGAAACAAGTAACTCAACTCAACTAGTTCTCCTTATACAACATTGTCAAAGGTTTTGGGCATTGAATACTTCAGCCCGGTCCTCATAAGCCCGAACCGTCATCACCCTCCCACTACCCCTCGCCACCACCGGGCAAAACCCACGTGGTGGTGGCCAGTGACAAGACTGTCTTGTGCAGACACATTGTGAAGGCCGGCCCTTGGACAACCTGGCACGCTCGGCGTGGTGGACAACCTTGGATCTCTCGACGGTAAGGCAACCATGAAGGCTCGATGGTCGGGGTTTGGTTCTTTGCACCAAGTGCTCAGTGGACTCATTGGAGGTGTGATGTGGTGGGCCCAACTGAGTAAAATGCATAAAACTACCACTTTAGCGTCATAGCTCCCGGAAAACCACCACTTCACAAAATGTGACACTTTGCACCGACCGAAATTTTGATAGTGGAAAAAACA